AATGTCATCACACAAAACGCCTTCTCTTTGCTTGATTCCGCCATTTTGAAAACAGCGACCCCTAGCGACGCCTAGCGGCATTAACGTACATGTGTGTTGCTCAAAAAAAACTTTGATAGTTTATCTGTCGCTACGTAGCTGTGGTTTGGTTACAGTAAACATACATTCGTCTAAAATTAATTTTCTTATTGGCCTATTCATTTTGACTAATCCTGTATATTGTATTGTATTTTGTGAATTGCTAGGCATCGAATTGTGCCTTTTTGTAAGCCGCCCTGAGTCCCCCCTAGGGGGTTGAGAAGGGCGGGGTAGAAGCACTCCAAATAAATAAATAACATAATACCATGTTCTTCTCATTTCCAGCCCATTTCTTGAAGATCTGGAGGGACTGCCCTGCATGAAGCATCCCTGGCGTAGCAAACACAACCTGAGGAGGAGGAGGAGGAGGAAGAGAACGAAATGAGTTGACTTCTCAAAGAAGTTAGGTTTTGAAATCTAGGAGACCTGACCCCCAAACCACCAAAGCCTGGCCTTCCCATCATTTCCACACTTCCAACCACAGCCACCACATGTACCATTGGCCCCGGGTTGTCAGCAAACGCCCTGTCGAAGGCCTTGATGTGCTTGAACTCAAACATGTTCCTCTGGACAAAGGTCTTGCGGATCTTCTGGTTGGTCCAGGTGATGAAGAGCTTGTAGTAGTGGTTGGCCTTCTCCGTCAGGCCCATGGAGAAGTAGATGGGCGCCTTGAGGTTCATGCGCTCCCTTTGGGGGAAACGAAGAGGGAGAGACAAGTCAGGAAATGGACAGATCATAGAATCCTAGAGTTGGAAGAGACCTGGTGGGCATCCAGTCCAACCCCATTCTGCCAAGAAGCAGGAAAACACCTTCAAAGCATCCCCAACAGATGGCCATCCAGCCTCTGTTTAAAAGCCTCCACAGAAGGAGCCTCAACCACACTTTGGGGCAGAGAGTTCCACTGCTGAACAGCTCTCACAGTCAGGAAGTTCTTCCTAATGTTCAGAAATGGAGAAAGGGAAGAGACAGGGGTCTCACCTTGACAAGATCTGGAATGGCTTCGAAAAGAAACCGCTTACCAGAAAGTCTCCAGCAAAATGCAAAGCTCCTGAGCGCGTCCCAAGGCAAACACCGGGATCAGGACCTACAATCGGGGAAGAGAGCGCAGAGTTTGGAAGGACCGTTTTCACATGACACAACAACTATTGATATTTACCGTGTCAGAAGCAAGTTGAGGGTACAGTTAATACATAGGGTTGTTGTGTGTTTTCCAGGCTGTCTGGCCATGTCCGAAAGCATTCTCTCCTGACATTTCGCCTGTATCTATGGCAGGCGTCCTCAGAGGTGGTGAAGACCTCACAACCTCTGAGGATGCCTGTCACAGAAGCAGTTTTTTGCTGTAAGTTTTTCAGGCTGTTTGGTCATGTTCTAGAAGAATTCTCTCCTGACATTTCACCTGCATCTATGGAAAGCATCCTCACAACCTCTGAGGATGCCTGCCATAGATGCAGGCGAAATGTCAGGAGAGAATGCTTCTGGAACATGGCCAGACAGCCCTGAAGACACACAACAACCTAGTGATTCCAGCCGTGAAATCCTTCGACAATACAACACAAACAAAGTTTAAAATTTGGCATTATGCTAAATTTATTTATTTATGACATTTATATGCTACCCTTCTCACCCCGAAGGGCTTACAAGATATATATGTTGTTGTTGTTCATTCGTTCAGTCGTGTCCGACTCTTCGTGACCTCATGGACCAGGTCACGAAGAGTCAGACACGACTGAACGAAGATATATATATACATACAATATATTAAATTATTAGCATAGTATATAGATATATATTGTACATGATACAATATCAGGATTATATATTACTATATTGTTCTACACCATTATATTGTAATATTATTAATAATATTACATGTAATATAAAATACATAATTATAATATTGCATTATTATTAGTAGTAGTAGTATTATATTGTATTACATAATATTATATATTATAAAAATACTAGTATTATATTGTATTAAATTATAATTATTTTTTTAATAATTTTTTATTAACCGTTTATATAATTACATGGAAAGTGGGGGAATATATTAAAAGAAGATAGAAAAGTAGGAAAAATAGGATAAAGAGAGTACAGTAAAATGTAAAAATCAAAAGTTATAATGTAATTATATTACATTATAATTAAATTAGCATAGTATATAGAACTATGTACATGATACAATATCAGTATTATATATTACTATATTGTACTACACCATTGTATAATAATACAATTAATATTACATGTAATATAAAATACATAATTATAATATTACATTATTATTAGTATTATATTGTATTAAATTATAATATTATAAATATATTATAAAATATTAGTGTTATATTGTATTACAATATTATAAATATATTATAAATATATTAGTATTATATTGTATTACATTATATTATTATAAATATATTGTAAAAATATTAGTATTATATTGTATTACATTACAATATTATAAATATATTATAGAAAATATTAGCATTATATTGTATTACATTATATTATAAATATGTTATAAAAATATTAGTATTATATTGTATTACATTACAATACTATAAATATATTGCAAAAATATTAGTATTATATTGTATTGCATTATAATATTATAAATATATTATAAAAATATTAGTATTACATTGTATTACATTATAATATCATAAATATATTATAAATGTCCTTTGACAAGAAGCTGCCCACTTGGAGTGCCTCCGGTGTCGCTGTAAGAAGGTCCTCCATTGTGCATGTGGCAGGGCTCGGGTTGCATTGTAGTAAGGCGTTTGTGGTTTGCTCTTCTTCGCACTCACATGTCGCGGACTCCACTTTGTAGCCTATTTAAGGTTGGCTCTGCATCTCATGGTGCAAGAGCACAGTCTGTTCAGCGCCTTCCAAGTCACCAAGGAGGGAATTTCTTGTTCAGTGTCAGCCATGTATTGAGGTGCTGGGTTTTAGCCTGCCACTTTTGGACTCTTGCTTGCTGAAGTGTTCCTGGGAGTATCTCTGTAGATCTTAGGAAGCTATTTCTTGATTTAAGGCATTGGCATGCTGGGTGATATCTGAACAGAGAATGGGCTAGAGATGTCACTGCTTTGATCCTTTCATTACAGGATGCTACTTCCCGACGGATATCAGGTGGTGCAATACTGGCTCAACAACGTAATTTCTCCAGCGGTGTAGGGCGTAGACATCCTGTGATAATGCAGCATGTCTCATTAAGAGCCACATCCACTGTTTTAACGTGGTGAGATGTTTCCCACACTGGACATACGTATTCAGCAGCAGAGTATCAAATCGCAAGGGCAGATGTCTTCCCTGTGTCTGGTTGTGATCCCCAGGTTGTTCCAGTCATAGAAATTATTCCACCGTCTCACTTTTTAATGCAAGGAATCAAGGATATTTTAGGCAAAGAGCAGGTATATCTCACCTTCCCTCCTCGTTCTATGGTTTCGTGGACTTTCTTTAAGAAGTCCCTCTCTCTGCAGCGTTTGGAGTCCCGAATCGTCGTGGCGTAAGTGGACTCCGAAATGAGCAAGTCGGGGCGGCATTTATCAATCCAGGCAGCTCTGAAAAATATAAACAGAACAGGATGAGCCCTTGCGTTACACCAAGGCACAAACAGAACATACTATAAAGCAGTGGTTCCCAACCTGTGGGCCGCGGACACGACCTACAATAAGGTCGGCAGCCAGGGGTGTGTGCCGCCTTTGGAGGAGAGTAAGAGAGAAGGAGAGGGAGGGAAAGAAGGAAGGAGACCAGTGCCATTGCCCTCGCCCCCTCACAGCTTCCCTGGCACCGCCGGAGGAGAGCGAGAGAGAGAAAGAGAGGGAGAGAAAGAAGGAGGCCAGCAACATTGCCCTCGCCCTCTCACGGCTTCCCCAGTGCCATTGGAGGAGACAGAGAGAGAAAAGGAGAGGGAGAAGGAAGGAAGGAAGGAAGGAAGGAAGGAAGGAAGGAAGGAGGGAACATTCTCACAGCTTCCCCAGCACCGTTGGAAAGCGAGAGAGAGATGGAGAGGGAGAGAAGGAAGGAAGGAAAGAAAGAAGGAAAGAAGGAAGCAACATTCTCACGGCTTCCCTGGCACTGTTGGAGAGCGAGAGAGAGATGGAGAGAGAGAGAAGGAAGGAAGGAAGGAAGGAAGGAAGGAAGGAAGGAAGGAAGGAAGGAGGCCAGCAACATTCTCACGGCTTCCCCAGTGGCATTGAAGGACAGCAAGAGAGAGACGGAGAGAAGGAAGGAAGAAAAGAAAGAAGGAAGGAAGGAAGGAAGGAAAGATGGAAGCAACAGTCTCACGGCTTCCCCGGCACTACTGGAGAGTGAGAGAGAGACGGAAAGGGAGAGAAGGAAGGAAGGAAGGAAGGAAGGAAGGAAGGAAGGAAGGAAGGAAGGAAGGAAACAACATTCTCGTGGCTTCCCCGGCAGTGTTGGAGAGGGAGAGAGAGACGGCGAGGGAGAGAAGGAGAGAAGGAAGGAAAGATGGGAGCAACATTCTCGCAGCTTCCCCAGCACTGTTGGAGAGCAAGAGAGGGAGAGGACGAAAGGAAAGAAAGAAAGAAAGAAAGAAAGAAAGAAAGAAAGAAAGAAAGAAAGAGAAGGAAGGAGTCCAGCAACATTCTTGCGGCTTCCTCAGCACTGTCAAAGGACAGCGAGATAGAGAGAAGGAGAGGGAGAGAAGGAAGAAAAGAAAGAAGGAAGGAAAGAAGGAAGCAACCTTCTCATGGCTTCCCCAACACTATTGGAAAGCGAGAGAGAGATGGGGAGGGAGGGAGGGAGGGAGGGAGGGAGGGAGGGAGGGAGGGAATGAAGGAAGGAAGGAAGGAAGGAAGGAAGGAAGGAAGGAAGGAAGGAGAAGGAAGGAGGCCAGCAGCATTCTTGCGGTTTCCCCAGTGCCATCAAAGGACAGTGAGAGAGAGATGGAGAGGTAGAGAAGGAAGGAAGGAAGGAAAGAAGGAAGGAAGGAGAAGGAAAGAAGGAAAGGAGCAGGAAGGAGTACAGCAAAATTCTTGCGGCTTCCTCAGCGCTGTCGAAGGACAGCGAGAGAGAGACGGAGACGGAGAGAAGGAAGGAAGGAAGGAAAGAAAGAAGGAAGGAAGGAAAGATGGAAGCAACATTCTCGCGGCTTCACCGGCACTATTGGAGAGTGAGAGAGAGACGGAAAGGGAGAAAAGGAAGGAAGGAAGGAAGGAAGGAAGGAAGGAAGGAAGGAAGGAAGGAAGGAACATTCTCACGGCTTCCCCAGCACTGTTGGAGAGGGAGAGCGAGCGAGAGGGAGAGGGAGGGAGGGGAGGGAAGGGACGAAGGGAGGAAGGAAGGAAGGAAGGAAGGAGAAGGAAGGAGGCCAGCAACATTCCTCCCCAATGCCATCGAAAGACAGCGAGAGAGAGACGGAGACAGAGACGGAGAGGGAGAGAAGGAAGGAACATTCTCACAGCTCCCCCAGCACCGCTGGAAAGCGAAAAAGAGACTGAGAGGGAGAGAAGGAAGGAAGGAAGGAAAGAAAGAAGGAAGGAAGAAAGGAGGCCACAAACATTATCACGGCTTCCCCAGCGCTGTTGGAGGACAGTGAGAGAGAGCAAAGTCCTCCAAAGTAATTATTATTAGTATTATAATTATGCTTATTAGTTCCTGGTGCCATACCTCACTTGTAATGGGAAAGCAGCCCTTTGTCAGAAGCCATTTAGTCCCCCAAAGTAATTATTATTATTTGACAAACAACAAGATCAAGATTGCTATGATCAGTTTCATACACTGAAGCCTAAAAACTCACCCCAAGTGTCTGTCCGGGGTCATGTTGTAGTCACCCTAATGACGGAAAGAAGAAGAAAAAAGTCTCACATTTCAGGTTTTTTTTTTCCATTTAGAACAGTTGTGGGTTTACTTTTGTGGGAAAATATCCCCATTCAGGACCTTATGATGTGTTTATGCTGCTAGACTGTATTAATATTATATCTTAATAATATTATGCATTGGTAGAAATTGATAAGTAGGAGCCAGATTAGTAGCACTGCTGGTTAATTGCTAGCAGCAATCAATCACTGCCGACCGAAAGGTGGCAAGTTCGAAGCCTGAGTCAGGGTTGAGCTCCCGACTGTTAAATAGCCCAGCTTACTGTTCGCCTAAGCAGTTTGAAAACAGTTGTGCTGTGAGTAGAGTAATTAGGGACTGCTTAAAGTGGGAAGGTTAATTTATGACACCATAAAAATGTCGGAGAGCAAGAAGAAAATACTGAAGCTTGGTGTCATAGTGGATGAAGTGACAGCGCCCCTCAGTGGCCGGAATCGAGCAACCTTCAGGATCCGAAGTGGAAAAACTGCTAAATGACTTCTATCTGTCAGTATGTTTTGTATGAATGTTTGCTGTGTATGTGTGCATCGTAATCCGCCCTGAGTCCCCTTCGAGGTGAGTAGGGTGGAATATAAATACTATAAATAATAAATAATAAATAGATCATACTGCCAAGTACTTAAAAGATTTATAGCTGAAGGGAACTTGGAATAGTGTTGGTTTAAAGCACAACAAACTATTAAGAAAGCCTTAAAGGGTTTAATTTAATTTAATTTAATTTATAACATTTATATGCCACCCTTCTCACTCCGAAGGGGACTCAGAGCGGCTTACAAGTAATATGTAAATACAATATATTATATTATTACCATAGCACAAGATTACTATTATATATTACTATACTGTAGTATACCATTATACTGTACTATTATTAGAAATATTACATGTAAAATATATAATTATATCATATTATTATTAGTATTATATTGTACTACATTGCAATATGATCAATATTATCTGTAAATACAATATAGTATATTATTACCATAGCACAATATTACTATTATATATTACTATGTTGTACTATACCATTATACTGTAATATTATTAGTAATATTACATGTAACATAAACATAATTATAATATCATATTATTATTAGTATTATATTGTACTACATTATATTACCATCTGTAAATACAATATATTATATTATTATCATAGCACAATATTAGTATTATATATTATTATATTGTATTATATCATTATACTGTAATATTACTAGTAGTATTACATGTAACATAAAATATATAATTAAAATATTGTATTATTATTAGTATTGTACTACAATATAATATTATCAATATTATCTGTAAATACAATATATTGTATTACCCCAGCACAATATTACTTTTATATATTACTATATTGTACTATAGCATTATACTGTAATATTATTAGTAATATTACATGTAACATAAAATATATAATTATAATATCGTATTATTATTATTATTATTATTATTATATTGTACTACATTATAATATTATCAATATTATCTGTAAATACAATATATTATATTACCATAGCACAATATTACTGTTATATATTACTATATTGTACTATGACATTATACTGTAATATTATTAGTAGTATTATAATGTACTACATTATAATACTATCAATATTATCTCTAAATACAATATATTACTATATCGTACTATACCATTATACTGTAATATTATTAGTAGTATTACATGTAACATAAAATATATAATTATATCGTATTATTAGCATTATATTGTACTACATTATAATATTATCAATATTATCTGTAAATATAAAAAATTATATTATTACCATAGCAAAATATTACTAATATATATTACTATATTGTACTATACCATTATACTGTAATATTATTAGTAATATTACATGTAACATAAAATATAAATTTATAACATTGTATTATTAGTAGTAGTATATTGTACTACATTATAATATTATCAATATTATCTGTAAATACAATATATTATATTATTAGAATAGCACAACATTAGTATTATATATTACTATATTGTACTATAGCATTATACTGTAATATTATTAGTAATATTACATGTAACATAAAATATATAATTATAACATTGTTTTATTAGTAGTAGTATATTGTACTACATTATAATATTATCAATATTATCTGTAAATACAATATATTATATTATTAGAATAGCACAACATTAGTATTATATATTACTATATTGTACTATAGCATTATACTGTAATATTATTAGTAATATTACATGTAACATAAATATAATTATAATATCATATTATTAGTAGTATTATATTGTACTACATTATAATATCAATATTATCTGTATATACAATATATTATATTAGCATAGTGCATGAGATAACTACATGGTCTCAAATCAGGGTGGCTTGTTTTGAGGATGATTATTAAATACTCTATTACCAGATTTAAGAAGGCAAAAGTATACAATCTTTTTTATGTGTATGTAGAGCCGTGAGGAGAGAGTCTGGTTACTTACAGTGTAAACCACGGACTCACAGCCAACTTTAATCTGGAACATGGCCGCTCCAAGGACGTGCCCGGCGTAATAGGCTTTGATCTCCAACTCATCATCTACCTGCAACAAAAAGTATATGTGTGTGGTGTAACAAAAATGACAAAAACAAACACTCCTCAAAACACCATGTCATTTACTAGAACCCACAATAAAAGGTTCCCCACCTGAACGGTTTGATGAAGATGGACAGCCACCACTTTCTTCATGCAATCTTTAATCATTTGGGAGGTGAAGAAGTTGGTCTCGCCTTTCTTGTCCACCGTGATTTTCCGGAAGTCCTCCAAGAGGATGGGGCAGATGGCTTTGGTTGGGTGGGTCATGTAAATGGGCCCGTCGTAGCCAACCATCTCGCTGAAATACGGGAGGGCGCCACAGTGGTCCAGATGGAAATGGCTGGGGAAGAGAAAGAGCCAAACTGCAACCTTAGGAAGAACATCCTGACAGAACTGCTGTCTTGCAACGTGGTGGATGTTTTTAAACTGTGGCTGGATGGTCATCTGTCAGGATGGCTTGGATTGTGCCTTCTTGCACAGCAGAATGTGGTTGGACTGAATGACCCAACTCTAGTCCTTTATACTTCCTTCAATGTTGGGCTTCTTTCTCATGCAGATAAACAGCTTCACTCTCACAGAGCCACTTCTCACATCAAAGTTACACAGGAGCTTCACACAGTAGCCTTTTACACAGTAGCCATCACACTGGAGCTTCACAAACAATGCCTTCCTCTCAATGAAGCTTGTCACACCAGGCATTCTCATACTGAGGCCTACTAACACTGAGGCCTTTCTCCCACTGAAGCCTTCTCACACTGAGGGCTCTCTCAGACTGACATCTTTCACCCACTAAGGTGAACTGACACTGAGGCCTTTCTCCCACTGAAGCCTTCTCACATTGAGGGCTCTCTCAGACTGACATCTTTCACCCACTAAGGTGAACGAACACTGAGGCCTTTCTCCCACTGAAGCCTTCTCCCATTGAGGGCTCTCTCAGACTGACACCTTTCACCCACTAAGGTGAACGAACACTGAGGCCTTTCTCCCACTGAAGCCTTCTCACATTGAGGGCTCTCTCAGACTGACACCTTTCACCCACTAAGGTGAACGGACACTGAGGCCTTTCTCCCACTGAAGCCTTCTCACACTGAGGGCTCTCTCAGACTGACACCTTTCACCCACTAAGGTGAACGAACACTGAGGCCTTTCTCCCACTGAAGCCTTCTCACATTGAGGGCTCTCTCAGACTGACATCTTTCACCCACTGAGGTGAACTAACACTGAGGCATACTAACACACTGAGGACCTTCTTCCACAGAGACCTCTAACAGGCCTATAATACTGAGACTTATCATACTGAGGCCTCTCTCACTGAGGTCTGCTAACACTGAGGGCTCCCTCAGACTGAGGGCTACTATGCTACAGGCGCATCTTCTTATATTGAATTGCAGTTTACAAGAGTGGGAATGGCAGATAAGTCAACTGAATGGAAAGTTGCTTAGAAAACAACAATACTCAAAATATCAAAACAGATGTGCATACCTGATGATTAAGCAGTCTAAGAAGTCAGTCAGCCGTCCATTCTGAGTGATGTATGAGAAATCAGGAAACCGCCTCTAAAATAACAATAATAATCATAGTAATATAATTTTGTTTTTTGTTCAGTTGCTTCCGACTCTTCGTGATCTCATGGACCAGCCCAAGCCAGAGCTCCCTGTTGGCCATGGCCACCCCCAGCTCCATCAAGGTCAAGCCAGTCTCTTAAAGGATAACATCTAACAAAAGACCCTCTTCATAAATGCACATCGGAGTAACTTATTTGCAGCAGCGCGACCCAGCACAAGTAGTCAAAAGTGATAAAAAGAACAAAAACACACAGACCAACTGCTATCTCTTCCAAAAGTAGTAAAATAATACGGTTGCACTATTTACAATAACAAGGTTACTATAACACTACCAAAGTTCTTTAGACTTCCTTCTTTGCTTCCACGCTGGGCTTCTTTCTTATGCAGATAAACAGATTCACTCTCACAGAGCCTCTTCTCACACTAAAGTTATACAGAAGCTTCACACAACAGTGTTTACACACAACAGTCTTCACACAGGAGCTTCCTCTCACCAAAGCTTCTCACACCAGGCCTTCCCATACTGAGGCCTACTAACACTGAGGCCTTTCTCCCACTGTGGTCTTCTCACACCAAGTATCATAGCAATGAGATGGAAAATAAGGGCAATAACACATCCCTGTTTGACACCTGAATCCATCTGAAATGGGTCAGTTTGGGAGCCTTCACACAGGAGCTTCCTCTCACCGAAGCTTCTTACACCAGGCCTTCTCATACTGAGGCCTTACTCCCACTGAGGCCTTCTCACACCAAGTATCATAGCAATGAAGATGGAAAATAAGGGCAATAACACATCCCTGTTTGACACCTGAATCCATCTGAAATGGGTCAGTTTGGGAGCCTTCACTTAGGAGCTTCCTCTCACCGAAGCACCTTACACCAGGCCTTCTCATACTGAGGCCTTTCTCCCACTTATGCCTTCTCACACCAAGTATCATAGTAATGAAGATGGAAAATAAGGCAATAACACATCCCTGTTTGACACCTGAATCCATCTTAAATGGGTCAGTTTGGGAGCCTTCACGCAGGAGCTTCCTCTTACCAAAGCTTCTTCCACCAGGCCTTCCCATAGTGAGGCCTTTCTCCCACTGAGGCCTTCTCACACCGAGTATCATAGCGATGAAGATGGAAAATAAGGGCAATAACACATCCCTGTTTGACACCTGAATCCATCTTAAACGGGTCAGTTTGGGAACCTTCACAAAGGAGCTTCCTCTTACCAAAGCTTCTTCCACCAGGCCTTCTCATACTGAGGCCTTTCTCCCACTGAGGCCTTCTTACACCGAGTATCATAGCAATGAAGATGGAAAACAAGGGCAATAACACATCCCTGTTTGACACCTGAATCCATCTTAAACGGGTCAGTTTGGGAACCTTCACAAAGGAGCTTCCTCTTACCAAAGCTTCTTCCACCAGGCCTTCTCATACTGAGGCCTTTCTCCCACTGAGGCCTTCTTACACCGAGTATCATAGCAATGAAGATGGAAAACAAGGGCAATAACACATCCCTGTTTGACACCTGAATCCATCTTAAACGGGTCAGTTTGGGAACCTTCACAAAGGAGCTTCCTTTTACCAAAGCTTCTTCCACCAGGCCTTCTCATACTGAGGCCTTTCTCCCACTGAGGCCTTCTTACACCGAGTATCATAGCAATGAAGATGGAAAACAAGGGCAATAACACATCCCTGTTTGACACCTGAATCCATCTTAAACGGGTCAGTTTGGGAACCTTCACAAAGGAGCTTCCTCTTACCAAAGCTTCTTCCACCAGGCCTTCTCATACTGAGGCCTTTCTCCCACTGAGGCCTTCTCACACCAAGTATCATAGCAATGAAGATGGAAAATAAGGGCAATAACACATCCCTGTTCGACACCTGAATCCATCTTAAATGGGTCAGTTTGGGAGCCTTCACATAGGAGCTTCCTCTTACCAAAGCTTCTTCCACCAGGCCTTCCCATACTGAGGCCTTTCTCCCACTGAGGCCTTCTCACACCGAGTATCATAGCGATGAAGATGGAAAATAAGGGCAATAACACATCCCTGTTTGACTCCTGAATCCACCTTAAATGGGTCAGCTTGGGAGCCATTGTTGTCCAAGAACATCCTGCAGCTCCTCCATGATTTCCTTTATTACCCATTTCTCTTTATGACTCGAGGTGGGGCACAACATCATAAAATACATCATTATGCTAAAATACATTTCTGAAAAGCACATTTTGAAACATACACATATGAGTATATGCGTATGTTTTAGTACAAATATAAAACAGAAGAGCAGTTTACGAAAGGGAGACTAGAATTTCAACTTCATTGACCTGTTTGAGAGCTTCGATGTCAGAATCCATGATGTTAAAACAAAAGGAAGTCAAATTGGTCTCATGAACGGACAAAGAAACACTAGGTAACCCTGGCTAGCGCTTACATCATCATTGTACCCCATGTGCATCCCGCAATCCAGCATGACATTCTTCCCTGCAATGGACACAAGGATGCAGCTTCGGCCCACATCTTGGCCCGCTCCTGAAAAGACAAAGGGAAAAGAGGTTAATACAGATTTCCTGACATCTTAGTAACTATGCAGAATTACAAACAGCACAGACATCACAAGGAACCCCCCTTGAGATTAGCAATATACTTAGTTGCCCCTGGCAAGCAAGAAATTCATATATGTGCTGGACGGGGTCGCACTCCCCTTGAAGGCGCAGGTTCGCAGCTTGGGTGTGACCCTGGACTCATCGTTGAGCCTGGATCCCCAGGTTTCAGCGGTGACCAGGGGAGCATTTGCACAGCTTCAGGCTCGTGCGCCAGCTGCGCCCGTATCTCGGGAAGTCTGACTTGGCCACGGTGGTACACGCTCTTGTCACATCCCGCCTGGATACTGCAACGCTCTCTACGTGGGGCTGCCCTTGAAGACGGCCCGGAAGCTTCAGCTGGTTCAGCGGGCGGCAGCCATGTTACTAACTGGAGCGGGACAGGGAGCACACAACGCCCTTGTTGTTCCAGCTCCACTGGCTGCCGATTTGCTACCGGACCCAATTCAAGGTGCTGGTGTTGGCCTACAAAGCCCTAAACGGTTCCGGCCCAAAATACCTTTCTGACCGCATCTTGGCCTATGAGCCCACGAGGACCTTGAGATCGTCTGGGGAGGCCCTTCTCTCGATCCCGCCTGCCTCACAGGCACGGCTGGCGGGGACGAGAGAGAGGGCCTTCTCGGTGGTGGCCCCCCGGCTTTGGAACTCCCTCCCTGCTGAAATTAGACAGGCGCCCTCCCTTATGGCCTTTCGTAAGGGCCTGAAAACATGGCTCTTCGAGATGGCCTTCAATTGAGTGCGATGCTATTGGAAATGACGACCGGAATGGACTACGACTATGAGACCGATTATGACCCTATGTTATGACGAAGCGGATTTTTATGTAGTTTGTATTTGTTGTATAGTTATATGTTGTTGACACTGGCCTTTGTAACTGTCTTTTTATGTGTACTGTACACCGCCATGAGTCGCCCGTAAGGGCTGAGAATGGCGGTTAATAAGTGCATCAAATAAATAATAAATAAATAGTATAGCATCACCTCTGTGTGTTGTTGTTGTTCATTCGTTCAGTCGCCTCCGACTCTTCGTGACCTCATGGACCAGCCCACGCCAGAGCTCCCTGTCAGCCGTCATCACCCCCAGCTCCTTCAAGGTCAGTCCAGTCACTTCAAGGATGCCATCCATCCATCTTGCCCTTGGTCGGCCCCTCTTCCTTTTGCCTTCCACTTTCCCCAGCATCATTGTCTTCTCTAGGCTTTGCTGTCTCCTCATGATGTGGCCAAAGGACTTCAACTTTGTCTCTAGTATCCTTCCCTCCAATGAGCAGCCGGGCTTTATTTCCTGGAGGATGGACTGGTTGGATCTTCTCGCAGTCCAAGGCACTCTCAGAACTTTCCTCCAACACCACAGCTCAAAAGCATCTATCTTCCTTCGCTCAGCCTTCCCTAAGGTCCAGCTCTCACATCCGTAGGTGACTACAGGGAAGACCATGGCTTTGACTAGGCAAGGGATCTTGGTTGCCAGTCTGATGTCTCTACTCTTTACTATTTTATCGAGACTGGACATTGCTCTCCTCCCAAGAAGGAAGCGTCTTCTGATTTCCTGGCCACAGTCTGCATCTGCAGTCATCTTTGCGCCTAGAAATACAAAGTCTGTCACGGCCTCCACATTTTCTCCCTCTATTTCCCAGTTGTCAATCATTCTTGTTGCCATAATCTTGGTTTTTTTTTTTATGTTTAGCTGCAACCCGGCTTTTGCGCTTTCTTCTTTCACCTTGATTAGAAGGCTCCTCAGCTCCTCTGGCCCTGCTATGAAACAGTCAACATTTTCATTGTACGAAATGGCAAGGACATGCAAAGATTCAAGTTCCTCACCTAAAGGAGTGACTTTTATTTCAGGCATGCTTCAAGAGCGAGGAAACCTCCAATTTCTAGCTGCAAGGATCTCACAAAACTGTTCCAGAGGTAACCCAATTGAAGAGTCTGATGCGGAACATTATTCAACATGTCCTGAAGTGAGACAAAAAAAAAGGAGAAGAGTGAAATCTACACTGTAGAATCAATGCAGTTTGGCACCACTTGGACTGCCACAGCTCAATCCCTCATATTTATTTATTTACCCTTTATGAACCCTTCTTCGTCTTTTCTTTCTTTCCTTCCTTCTCTTCCTCTTGTCTTTTTTCTTTCTCTCATTCTCTTTCCTGTGTCTTTCCTTCCTTCCTTTATCTTCCTTGTGTCTATCCTTTCTTCTCTAATCTTGTCAAGGAAAAATAACCTTGTCTTCCTTGTCTTTTCTTCTTTCCTTCATCTTTTCTTTCTTTCTTTCCTTCCTTCTCTTCCTCGTGTATTTTTTCTTTCTCCCCTTCTCTTTCCTGTGTCTTTCCTTTATCCTCCTTGTGTCTTTACTGGCTTCCTTTCCTTTCTTTCTCTTCCTTGTGTCTTTTCTTTCTTTCCTCTCCCTTGTCTTTCTTTCCTTCCTTCCTCTTTTTCTTCCTTTTCTTCTATTTGGTAATTTGGCAATCTGGTAATGGAACATAGGAATGGAACAAGGGACGACGAACCTGGACTACGCTTGGATGATGAGAAGATTGGGTACGGTTGTTTTTTGTAATAATTGTGCATTGTAACTGCTTATTGGTAATTTATGGATAATGTGTTAAGTCAATTGTTATATGTTGTATGGAACCACTGCTGTTTCTACTGTTTTTACTGTTTGTGAACCGCCGTGAGTCGCCTTCGGGCTTGAGATACAGCGGTATATAAGCAAAGTAAATAAATAAATAAATAATATTTCATGTGTCAGTCCTTTCTTTCTTTCCTTCCTCTCCCTTGTCTTTCCTTTCTTTCTTTCTTTCCTTCCTTCCTTCCTCTTTCTTTCTTTCTTTCTTCCTTTCCTTCTATTTCTTGTGTCTTTCCTTTCTTTCTTTCTTCCTTTCCTTCTATTTCTTGTGTCTTTCCTTTCTTTCTTTCCTTCCTTTCCCTTGTTTTTCCTTCCTTTCCTCTTCCTTTCTTCCTTTCCTTCTATTTCTTGTGTCTTTCCTTTCTTTCTTTCTTTCCTTTCTCTTCCCTTCTATCCTTCCTTCTTACCTTTCCTTCATGAAACTCTAGAGGAGCATTTGGGACTCAAACCAACAGGCATGCATTGCACTTTTAGATAGAGGCATAGTTATACAATATTTCTTCAGAGTTCCAGTTAACTTAATGTATTAATGCATTTTCCTGTCCCCTTGATGTCTCCCTGAGGGGGGAAAAGACGCCACAACAATGACAGAAGTTCACAAATGGGCCACCTAGGCCCCGTTTCCATAGCAACCGCCCTCCTCACCTGCTTCCCGGCGCCATGTTTCCGTCCCCCTCGAGGAGGCGCATGCGCAGTTCACACCACCTCAGGGCTCCGCGCGTGCGCACTCCCGTCCATCCCACTCGCTCAGAACCCGGAAGTAGCTTCCGAGCACCGATTGGCCGGCGCGGCTGAGAAAGGCGTCGATGATTGGCTGAGAGGGGAGAAGTGGGCGGGGCCGAGGTCTGCCTTGGTGTCAGGAAGCAGGTGAGTCTTTCCTTCAGGTGAGTCTTGGGCTCCTTCTCTGGGCCATTCCAGGCAGAACCTCAATATCACTCCAAATACAGGTATTCATAACATAATTATGCTTATTTCTATCCCTATAGAAGATGTATGGTTGATACTGTGGTCATTTATTTGGATCCATGTAATAATAGTCAAGGTATTATTATTAATATTATTATTGGGTTGTTGTAGGTTTTTCCTAACTAGTAATCTAAACAAGGTTCTTGTGGGTTTGGGGGGGCTATATGGCCATGTTCTGGAGGCAATTTTTCTCCTGACGTTTCGCCTGCATCTATGGCGAGCATCCTCAGAGGTAGTGAGGTCTGTTGGAAGTAGGAAAAATGGGCTTATATATCTGTGGAATGACCAGGGTGGGACAAAGAATTCTTCTCTGCTGGGGCTAGCTGTGAATGTTTCAGCTGATCACCTTGATTTGCATTCAATGGCTTGGAAGCGCCTGGGGAAAATCTTTTGTTGAGAGGTGTTAGTATGTGCCTGTTATTTATTTATTTATTATTTATTTGCTTTATTTCTATACCGCATTTTTCAGCCCTTAACAGGCGACTCAATGCGGTTTACATGGTACAATTATCAAACAGTGTCAGTGCAATTAAAACATAACAATGCAACAAACAGGATCAACAGCATCAATCCATAACAGTTAACAATCAACAAGACAGATCAACAAAACAGACATAACATAACGCCTCAGTTGAAATCAGATCCGTTCTCATAATCCTTGTGCCATTCCTATGTTCCATTTACCGTCTTCCTATGATTGGAAGATCCGTTCTCATAATCCTTGTGCCATTCCTATGTTCCATTCCCGTTTTCCTGTTTGTTTCCTCTCTGTTGTTTTGCTGTTGTAATTTTAGAGTTTTTTAATACTGGTAACCAGATTTTGTTCATCTTCATGGTTTCCTCCTTTCTGTTGAAATTGTCCACATGCTTCTTGTGGATTTCAATGGCTTCTTTCTATGTTGTGCCTGCGAACCCCACCTCCTTCAAGATGAACTGAACCACCTCAACTGGGCTCTCCAGGCCAATGGAGACTCCACCTCAGACATCAGAAGAGCTGCAAGACCAAGAACAAGCCACGAGAATAAAGACGAAGATCCACCCAGAGGAAAAGTGTTCCTGCCATACATCCCGGGAATCACTGGCCGCATAGGGAAGCTTGTGGATTTCAATGGCTTCTCTGTGTAGTCTGACATGGTGGTTGTGAGAATGGTCCAGCATTTCTGTGTTCTCAAATAATATGCTGTGTCCAGGCTGGTTCATCAGGTGCTCTGCTATGGCTGACTTCTCTGGTTGAAGGAGTCTGCAGTGCCTTTCATGTTCCTGGATTCGTGTCTGGGCAATGCTGCGTTTGGTGGTCCCTCTGTAGACTTGTCCACAGCTGCATGGTATCCTGAAGACTCCTGCAGAAGTGAGAGGATCCCTCTTGTCCTTTGCTGAATGTAGCATTTGTTGGATTTTCTTGGTGGGTCTGTAGATTTTTTGTATGTTGTGTTTCCTCATCAGCTTCCCTATGCGGTCAGTGGTTCCCTTGATGTATGGCAAGAACACTTTTCCTCTGGGTGGATCTTCAGCTTTACTCTTGTGGCTTCTTCTCGGTTGTCTTGCAGCTCTTCTGATGTCTGAGGTGAAGTCCCCATTGGCCTGGAGAGCCCAGTTGAGGTGGTTCAGTTCATCTTGGAGGAGGTGGGCTTCGCAGACACAGCATACAAAGAAGCCATTGAAATCCACAAGAAGCATGTGGACAATTTCAACAGAAAGGAGGAAACCATGAAGATGAACAAAATCTGGCTACCAGTATTAAAAAACTCTAAAATTACAACAGCAAAACAACAGAGAGTAAACAATCAGGCACATCTAATGACCTCTCAACAAGAGATTCCCCCCAGGCGCTTCCAGACCATTGAATGCAAATCAAGGTTATCAGCTAAAACATTACCCTGGTCATTCCACAGATATATAAACCCATTTTTCCTACTTCCAACAGACCTCACTACCTCTGAGGATGCTTGCCATAGATGCAGGCGAAACGTCAGGAGAAATGCCTCTAGAACATGGCCATATAGCCCGGAAAAACCTACAACAACCCAGTGATCCCAGCCATGAAAGCCTTCGACAATACATTAATATTATTATTTCTATATAAATATAGTAGAGATATTATTGATATTTTGGGTATTTATTATTAATAGTCAAAGGTATCATTAAAGCTGTGATCATTTATATTATTATTATATACCTGTCATTATTATTTATTTTATTATATACCTATTATTACAGGTATTATTAATTTTGTGATTATTTTATATCCATGTAATAATAGTCAAGGTATTATTAATAATATTATTATTTCTACATAAATATAGTAGAGATATTATTGATATTTTCAGTTTTTATTAATATACACGTAATAATAGTCAAGGTATCATTAAAGTTGTGATCATTTATATTATTATTATTATATACCTATTATTATAGGTATTATTAATTTTGTGATTATTTTATATCCGTATAATAATAGTCAAGGTATTATTAATAATATAATAATAGAGGTGTTATTGAAATTGTGCTTATTTTTATCCATATAATAGCAGTGTTATTATTATTATTATTATTATTATTAGTAGTAGTAGTAGTAGTAGTATTTATTATATTAGCTGTCCCCTGTCACGCGTTGCTGTGGTCCACTCTGTGTATATGTGTTTTGTGTGTGTATATATTTGTGTATCATAATAGTCAAGGTATTATTAATATAATAATAGAGGTGTTACTGAAATTGCAGTTATTTATATCCTTATAATAGTAGTCTATTATTATTATTTATTATACTAGCCGTCCCCTGCCATGCGTTGCTGTGGCCCATTCTGTGTATATGTGTTTTGTGTGTGTATATATTTGTGTACCATAATAGTCAAGGTATTAATATTAATCTATATTTGTCATTATTTCTTCTATCCATATAATAGAGTTATTTTTAATATTGACTTTATTTACGTACTTAGGCAATCCTTCGTTGGACGAGTAGGATAGTCTTCCAGGATCATTTATTTACATATGTCCATATAGAAATAGTCAAGGTATTATTTACCCCACTTTTATCCCTCCCTTTTCAGTCCGGAGGTGACACAGGGTGGCATACAGACTGGCAACAATTAGATGCCGAACACACATAAATACATCGTTTAAAACAGGTTAAGCCACATAATAAAATTCATATCCAAGTATTACTAATATTATGATTATGTTTATATCCATGTTTTATTAATATTTTCGTTATTTCTAGTATTAATATTGTCTTGACTTACGTATGTCCATATAGAAATATTTGAGGTATTACTAATGTCATTATTTTATATCCATGTAATTGAGTTATTATCAATATTATTATTATTTATTTACATCCATGTCATACTAGCCGAAGCATTATTAATATTATGATCATTTATTCATATCTATGTAGTAGAGTTATAAGGATAGGCATCTGAGTTCTGTAATTTCTATGCCACATTGGGGATTATTAATATAATAAGATATTAATATAATAGGTATCAAGATATTATTAATATAATAATAGAGGTGTTATTGAAATTGTGGTTATTTATATCCATATAATAGTAGTCTATTATTATTATACTAGCCGTCTCCTTCAGGAGAGACAAAGCAGCGTATAAATAATAATAATAATAATAATAATAATAATATGCTTGGGAAGTGTTCGACTTGTGATTTTGTGATATGAAATCCAGCATATAGATCTCGGTTGCTGTGACATACTGTGTTTTTATGTCAGTAAAATAATAATAATAATAATTTTCAAGTCCAAATGACTGAGCATAACATGGGAGACGGGCAGAGAGTCCAAATATCCTTGCAATTAGATAACGTATTCATTAACATTATTAATTATTAACCACCTTGGTATTACTTTGCACCATTTGCTTATTATTTATGTAAGAACTGCCAGCAACTTTTGCCCTTTGAATTCAGTTTGCAGTGACTTAAGCCGAGGGCAAAGCGGGAGGAGAAGCTGGGACATTTGATAAGCATCAGGGAAACTGGGAAAGCAGACCCAATGGAGAGAGTTGGAGGATGTGAAATTGACATTGTGTAAAGCCATTTCTATGATTGTTTACAATTGTTTACGATCAGCCTGTCTTCTTTTGCTACCCGTTTTCAGAGCTCTGCCATGGCTACTGGGGATGATGGGCACGGCCTGAAGGAAGTGCTGGTCACTTTTAAGAAATGCCTAATGGACAATCAAGAGATCCTTCTGGATCCGTACTTAGAAGGCTGGAAAGGCCTTGTGAGGTAAGACTAGGAGGCACAGTTGGTGGTCAGAATTAGATTCCTTTCTATCCTCTGTAGCGCATGCAAGGGGTGGGATTTCTGCTTGAACTGCAGTCCAAAACATGCGTGAATCGATCTAGGTGTGCCTGTAGCTTAGTAGGCCTCAGTGTTAGTTTGCCTCAGTATGAAAGAGGCGTCAGTGTGAGAGAGCCATCAGTGTAAGAAAGCCTCAGTGGGAGAAAGGCCTCAGTGTTAGTTCGCCCCAGTGTGAAAGAGGTGTCAGTCTGAGAGAGCCAGCAGTGTGAGAAAGGCCTCAGTGTGAGGTAGGCCCCAGTGTGTTAATAGGCCTCAGTATGAAGGCTTTGTGTGAGAAGCATCGGTTAAAAGAAGCCTCAGGTTGAAGGCCATCATGTGTGAAGCTCCAGTGTATGAGGCCTTTTAGCTGTAGGCCTCAGTGTTAGTTTGCCTCAGTGGGAGAAAGGTCTCAGTGTCAAGTGAGGTAGGCCCCAGTGTGTTAGTAGGCCTCAGTGTGAAGGCTTTGTGTGAGAAGCATCGGTGAGAAGAAGCCTCAGGTTGAAGGCCATCATGTGTGAAGCTCCAGTGTGTGAGGGCTGCTAGCTGTAGGCTAGGGAGAAAGGCCTCAGACTGAGAGAGCCCTCAGTGTGAGAAGGCCTCAGTGGGAGAAAGGCCTCAGTCTGAGAGAGCCCTCAATGTGAGAAGGCCTCAGTGGGAGAAAGGCCTCAGTCTGAGAGAGCTCTTAGTGTGAGAAGGCCTCAGTGGGAGAAATGCCTCAGTCTGAGAGAGCCCTCAATGTGAGAAGGCCTCAGTCTGATAGAGCTCTCATTGTGAGAAGGCCTCAGTGGGAGAAAGGCCTCAGACTGAGAGAGCTCTTAGTGTGAGACGGCCTCAGTGGGAGAAAGGCCTCAGTCTGAGAGAGTCCTCAGTGTGAGAGAGCTCTCATTGTGAGAAGACCTCAGTGAGAAAAAGGCCTGATAGAGCCCTCAGTGGAAGAAAGGCCTCATTGTTGGTAGGCCTCGGTATGAGTAGGCCTGATGTGAGACGCTTCAGTGAGAGAAGCCCCAGATTGAAGGCCTCATGTGGGAAGCTCCAGTGTGATGGTTGCTGTGTAAAAACCTACTGTGTGAAGCTCCTGTGTAACTTCGGTGTGAGAAGAGGCTCTGTGAGGGCGAAGCTGTTTATCTGCATAAGAAAGAACCCCAGTGTGGAAGCAAAGAAGGAAGTATAAAGCCTGGAAGATCTGCTTCTTCAAGGTGAGAGGAAGCTCCAGGTTGAAGGGTAAAGGGAGAAGCAGTGAACGAGCTTCATGCAAATTCCACATCCCAGAGTAAGAAACACTGGGATGTCTGTAGTGGAGGAAACACATACAATCTAGGATAAATTCTCCCTTCACGTGGGTGGCGGGCAGTATCTTGTTTGTTATTGTTGTTGTTCATCCTTGCACTCCTTCTCTGGAGGTTTTTAGGCAGAGGCTGGATTGTCATCTGTCAGGAGTACTTTGATCGTGTCTTCCTTCATGGCAGAGGATGGCCCTTGTGATCTCTTCCAACTCTTGATTCTCAATGTATGTTTTCCCACTGTAGGTTTCTGAACACCATGGGCTCGATCTTCTCCTTCATCTCCAAAGATGTTGTGACCAAGATTCAAATCATGGAGGAATTCCGGAGTAGCAACCAGAAGGATAACTACGTAAGCCTTCAATCCATGGTGAATTATGAGGTCTCCAACGACCTGGTGGACTTGAAGAAGCCCGGAGACCACCCTACGTCCGGCTGCCGGACCATCTTGCGCCTCCACCGGGCGCTGCGCTGGCTGCAGCTCTTCTTGGAGGGCTTGCGGACCAGCGACTCGGACTCCCGGACGTCGGTGCTGTGCGCGGACGCCTACAACGCCTCCTTGGCGAACTACCACCCGTGGATCATCCGCAAGGCCACCATCTTGGCCTTCTACACCTTGCCCACCCGGGATGCCTTCCTGGAGAACATGAAGGTGGGCACCCACGAGGAGACGGTGGAGATGCTGGGAGAGGCCTTGCCCAGCATCTGCAAGGTCTACGACGTCACGCAAGCGCTCTATGCCCAACACAATCTTCTTGACCTCCCGTGAAGCACCCTTCCACATCCACCTCGGCTCGAAATCAGAAATCCCATTGCTGTAAAATCAGCCTTGTCCCCTTCTTATGTTTTCGACTTCACCTCCCATCAGCCCCTGCCAGTATAATACGGCAAGCGATCAGGAAGGATGGGGTTGATAGTCCAAAACATCCCGAAGGCAGCAGATCGGAGAAGACTGTTCTGATCAGAGGGCATTTTCTTATAAAAACAAACCTTGCACTTACAGTTGGCTTTAGGACCGTTCTCTCCCAACCTTGCTTTGAACATCCTCCAAGCAAACATTTGGTCTGGAGGCTTGGGAGTTGTAGTACAATAGAGTCTCGCTTATCCGACCTTCGCTTATACGACATTCTGTCTTATCCGACGCTCTTTTTCCTCCAGCATTTCCCCTTCAGTTAAAGGAGCGCTCCCCAACTCTCTCTCCATTCCCAATAAGTGAAAAAGGCAAGACAAAGAGGAGGAGAAGGATAGAGGAAAGGGGGAAAAGATTCAGGACCGGAAGCGGAAGCGTCCTCCCTCCTTCCCTCTGTGATTTCCACGTTCCTCTTCCGCATCCGGGCACTTCCGTCTGGGCCTCTCTAGTCCTGGGGCGTTGCCTTGCCTTAACTCTTTGAGTCACCTTTGTTAGTATTCTAGGTGTCTAGCACCGCGTCGGACCGCTAACAGGAGGAGACTCCGTATCATCCGATATTTTCGTTTATCCGACGTTCCCCCAGCCAGTGTATGTCGGATAAGCAAGATTACTGTATTTTCACTTTTATTATGTGTATAGATGTGTATTTTGATCTGGACCAAATGTGAAACAGTAGGAGACTCCGTTTATGTCGGATAAGTGAGACTCTACTGTCTTCCAAACATTTGGAAGTTGGGTACTGTTGCTGAAAAGTCTCGCATACAATCTCTGTATCTGTTTACATTTTCAGATCGTTTCAGTAATCCATGCACGGGCTTTTGCTCTCTTGACTCTCATGTTTGCACAGCTTCTGGGAGTTAAATATCTAAAGAATTCCCACCCAAAAAATAATCAGAACTTTACTATATCTGTGTATGCTGGAGAAATAATTTGTGTTGTTAGGATCTAGAGCAGGAATGGGTAAACCCAGGCCCACGGGCCAGATGTGGCCCCTTGGGCTCTGTTCTCAGGCCCTCCTCTCTGTTACCATCCCCTCCTTCCTTCCTCTCTTTCCTTCCTCTTTCCCACCCTCCCTCTTTCTCCTTCTATCATTCCCTTTCATCCTTCCTTATCTTTCCTTCCTCCTTCCCTTCCTTCCTTCCTTTCTCCCTTACCTCCCTTTTGTCTTTCTTTCCTTCTCTTTACTTCATCTTTCTCTTCCTTCCTTCCACCCTTCCACCCTTTCGTCCTTCCTTCCTTCTCTTTCCTTCCGCCTTCTCTTCCTTCCCTTCCACCATTTCATCCTTCCTTCTATTTCCTTCCTTCCTTCCCTTCCTTCCTTCCCTCCCTTTTGTCTTTCTTTCCTTCTCTTTCCTTCGTCTTTCCCTTCCTTCCTTTCTTCCCTTCCACTCTTTGTCTTTCCTTCCTTCCTCCTTCACTTCCTTCCTTCCCTACCTTTTATCTTTCTTTCCTTCTCTTTCCTTCCTTCTTTCTTCCCTCCCTTTCTCCTTCCTTCTCTTCCACCCTTTCATCCTTCCTTCCATCTTTTCTCCCTCTCGCCATCTTTCTCTTTCCTTCCTTCCATTTTCTTTCCTTCCTTCTCTTCCTCCCTTTCTTCCCTCCTTCTCTTTTTCCTTCATCTTTCCCTTCCTTCCTTCCATCCATCCATCCTTCCCTTCCACCCTTTCATCCTTCCTTCCCTTTTGTCTTTCCTTCCTTCTCTCTTTCCTTTATCCTTCCCTTCCTTCTTTCCATCGTTCTTTTCCTCCCTTTCTTCACTCCTTCTCTTTTTCCTTTGTCTTTCCCTTCCTTTCATCCATCCATCCATCCATCCTTCTCTTTCATCCTTCCTTCCCTTTTGTCTTTCCTTCCTTCTTTCTTTCCTTTATCTTTCCCTTCTTTCCATCCTCTTCTTCCTCCCTTTCTTCACTCCTTCTCTTTTTCCTTTGTCTTTCCCTTCCTTCCATCCATCCATCCCTTCCACCTTTCTCTTTTGACTGCTTGGAGTGCTGTTCTGCAACTTACACAAAGCCTTAAAGGGAAAGGCAGAGCCGTGTTGTGGGACGTTGTATATTGTCATAACTCTATGGCGCCAAATTAGCGGCATAATCCACAGCGTGGCGGGGACAACGCTCTTATCATGTTTGGTATGCTGGACGCTCAAATAATTGTTTCCAAACGTCTCTTGTGTTGTTCGTCATGTTGGCAAAGGGATTCTGGGAGTTGCAGTCCAAACTCAGGGTGACGGACAACGAATTAATCACAGGGATTGCAAGGAAATGCAAATGGAGCCAATGAACCTTGGAGGAAGCAACATTGGCTAAACGTCAAAGTCGGAACACATCTTTGAAAAATAGTATTTCCTGCAACCTTTCCATTGCACACGCCGTATTTTTTAGAATCATGACAATCTAGGGCCAGTTTCAGGACCAAATCAAAACCATGTGTTGTCTGTTATGTCTTTGTGTGACGTCTTTCACAATTCAGCTTCAATCACCAATGGCTGTATGGAAGGGAAGAAGGTGGCGGGTGGTGTAGAAGCAGGCTGCCAAAAAATATTTGCACAATTATATTATGGGTTGGAAGCATGCACTGTGATTTTCTATCTCACGACATTTGGATTGAAATAAATGTTTTCAGTCATGCATATTCGTACCATTATCTTGTATTTTAGGATCTTGGGTTAAGAGGCGAGAGAAATATATATGGCAAGCAATGGTCTCCAAGCTCCGCCGCCCAGCCTTGACTCCATTATAAACTTTTAAAAATGGGGTTATCTTCGAGTATATACGGTATATACAAATATACAGTCAGGACTGGCAGATCGTCATTTCTTGGACTTGCCAATAATCAGAGTCATCAGATCGTCACATACAACACAGGCAGATAGTCACACTGAGTCACACAGGAGAGAGGAAGATGGATTCTTTCATCCTCCTTATATAAGTCATCAGTAAGGGACACTGTGTTGCAACTCAGAGTAGGCTTCACCTTGCTCCCAAACACCACCACACAAGAGCTGTAGGTTTTGTAGTTTATTGAGGAAAACAAAGTCAAAACATAGAGTAAGCAATGCAAAGTTCCAAAGACAAAGGTTAAATGCAAAAGCACAGTTCCAAAGGTCCATGGTAAAAACAGTGAAGCACAAGACCCAAAAACCAAGATTCATGAAGCCCAAAGCGTGCTGCTTAAAGCCAAGATTAATCCATAGAAGCTTTCATGGAAAGAGCGACGTTGAACTGACAATCTCTCTTTGTCAGTCAGAAGCCTAAATACCCTTTGCCATCATGAAGGCATTGTGATCTTTTGCCGACTTGGCTTCTCTCTTACTAGCTAAGCGAGAACTACTCCTGACCCTTCAATTAATGAGCAGGCGTTCTTGCCTTCTCATTAATTCACTATCTTCAATGCTCTCTTCTTTATCAGTTTGGTCCAAATCACCGTGGGAAGGCTGAGCAGGCGAAGACAACTCCACCTGGCCATTATCTAACTAACTGGTATTCTTTTCCCTTGAGAACTGACTTCTTGTCTCTCCTGCTGCACTGTCTGAGAGAGGCACAGAAACAGGCCCAGAAATCTGAATCCCATCATCCTCTTCATGAGGGAACAATTCAGGCTCACAAGACCCACAGGGTTCACTTTCAGACTCAGAATCGAACTGAGCCACAACACACTGGCTGATGCAACCCCTTTGCAATAACTTTCACGTGGTTATGACTCAACCATTACCACGTTCCCTTAGGTATTGCATCATGACATTCACAGTCATTACCCAGGTGCTATCAACCCTTAACTTGACAGTCTATATAACCCAGGTGTATAGGTATACACAATCAGAAGCATTTTAATGTTGGCAAATTTTTCGTGACCCCCATTTTCAATTCCGGTGACTTCATTTGGGGTCTCAAACCACAGTTTAAGAAGCTTTGGTCAATACGAGGGTTGAATGAAAAGTAATGCCTCCACCTTTGTAACTCCTCAACAGATGGCAGTAGTGGTATGCGGCAGGTACTGGCTTGTTCAGTAGACTCTCCTCTACAGTTCCATTTTGGCAGGAAGCCTTAGCATTGAACGGTTGTGTTGTCAAAGTGCGAAGTATGGAACCCTGCGCAGACGGTCGGTCAACGCGACTCAAGCAAATTGCAGTCATTGAATTCTTGACAGCAGAAGGTGTCACTCCAAAGGAGATTCATCAGAGAATGCAAGCTGTTTATGAGGATTGTGTTGATGTGAGTACTGTGCGTTGTTGGGCAAGTATGTTTAAAGATGTTGAGGTGGGAACATCTGACTTGCATGACAAACAAAGAGTTGGACGTCCTGTGACAGCAACCACTGAGTTTCACAAGCAAAAGGTTGACAGACTGATTCAGGATGATTGTCGTATCATTCAGAAATTTCAAGCATAATGAGTATTTCTGTTCCTGATAATGAAAGAAGATTTGCGGGGACATCATTATGCTTCTGATGAAGACGTTGCGAGAACTGTTTTTCTGCTGGTTGCGAAAACACAGTGTCAACTTCCGTGACGGCTTCAGAAAACGTGTTCATCATTGAGATGGGAACATCTGACTTGCATGACAAAGAGTTGGACGTTCTGTGACAGCAGCCACCAAGTTTCACAAGCAAAAGGTTGACAGATTGATTCAGTACAATCGTCGTATCACTAAGAAATTTCAAGCATTATCGGCATTTCACAAGAACGTGTGGGTCATATTATTGCTTTGCTTGGCTATCAGAAAATCTGTGCACGATGGATACCCAGGATGCTGACGCTTGTTGAGTGTCGACTTTTTCCGTGACGGCTTCAGAAAACTTGTTCATTGTTGGCAGAAATGTATCCAATTGTCTGGTAATTATGTGGAAAAGTGAATAGTGGTAGTTAAAGAGCACATTCTAAGGATTATTTCTGCGTTTGATTTATTAAAATATTCCCATGCAAACCCAAGTAAAGAGGGTGGAGGTGTTACTTTTCATTCAATCCTCGTACGCTGACGATCATGCCATCACCGCTCAAGCAGAGAGCTTTGAAATGGTTGAACAGAAGCTCAGTTTAATGCACGTGAAGGCGGTGCAAGGCACATGTTTGTGATGCTTGATGATTTTAGTCATTATTCTTATTGTTTATTGTTAAAATAAAAAGGTCAAGTATTTGAAAACTTTTTAACGACTGGGTTAATCTAATTGAAAGAAAATATAATAATTACCCATCACCAGCCACTTTAAAGAAGTGTGATAAAGGCTATGTACTTGTCACAGAGGCCAGTAATGCAGTTTAAACGAGAGCAGGTTAGCGACACATCCCACTAACCCTCGTCTTGTTATCTCCTTTTGGGTTGGAGTTCATGGGGAATGTGGTCCAGCACATTTAAAGGTCGCCTGGATATGGAAAGATTGGTATAAAGGCCATTCAGGGTGCCAAGATTTTATTTATTTTTATTTGAAAAGCAGGTGGAGGCATTACTTTTCATTCAACCCTGGTACATCTAACAAAGATATACATGTAACCAACAAACATATGGAAATGATGCCCAACCTTGACCCCATTATAAGATTGAAAAACCCGGCTTATCTTCGGGTATATACGGTAAATCCTCATTCAGAAATATAAAGATTGGCCTGAATTCCTGATTGTAATCCTCATTCTAGAAGTTGTGTAGCCTGTTGTCGACCTTTGCAACCCGAAAGACAGTTGCATCTGTCAAGTAGGAAAATTAGGTACCACCTTAAAGTGTGGGGAGGCTAAATTAACTAATTTATGAGGCCATAAAGAAGACTCCAGCAAAAGCATTCCATCGGGGAAGCATGCGGGGAATGCGGAAGTGCTTCATCAGCGTCGCAGATGGACGAGGAAAGCAACAGCTCCCCTGGCGGCCAGAAAAAGTTAAATAGCCTCTGTGTATGTCTGTATATGTTTGTATGTCAAAAATTGGCATTGAATGTTTGCCATATATGTGTACACTGTAATCCGCCCTGAGTCTCCTGCGGGGTGAGAAGGGCGGAATAGAAATGTGGTAAATAAACCCAAGTATTTCTAAGTCTGCTCCTTGGGAGGTCCAACTGAATCCGGGGTAGGGGGGGTCTTCCAATTTGTTTCAGTGCAGGACATTTGCACACGTTTCATGCTTGGGGACTTCTTGTTTTGAATAAGCAAGGGAGGAAATGGAGATCCGGGCCAATGATTTGCAAAGGAGGCCATTGCAGCGAGCCTTGGAGACCATTTGGTTAGGATAGGTAGCCATGCCAGTTCCTTCCCACTCCTAGATGCGGGGTTACGCATATGTGCCATATACACTTTGCTAAACAAATTCCCCTCGGCTGTTTTCTCTCCCATCGTTCATCAAAATATCTAAGTGCTTCCCATCATCATCCCTTCGTCCCCCGTTTTTGGAATTGTGCTGTTTGCGGAAAGAGTGGTCTCGAGCCGAGAGGGAGAAATGCTCCTGCTCTTTTTGATCGGGATCGGTTGGGACCGGGCCTCGGCCCAGGACTTGCGCTGCATGTCTTCCCAGTTTAGGAAACCCGGAGATTACATCCTGGGTGGCTTGTTCCCTTTCACGGTCCTCACCACCAACGTGTCGGATCGGACCCTGCCTGATATCTACAGCTGTGACAGGTAAGGATTGATACAAGGCACACAGAGAAAGATATACAGATCTATAGGTATAGTTATAGATATAGATCTATAATAGAGCTATAGTTATCTTTCCTCGTCCATCTGCGACGCTGATGAAGCACTTCCGCATTCCCCGCATGCTTCCCCGCTGTAATGCTTTTGCTGGAGTCTTCTTTATGGCCTCATAAATTAGTTTATTTAGCCTTCCCACACTCTATATAGATCTATAGTTATAGATATAGATCTATAGATCTATAATTATATATGCTAGTTTCACATATGCATTTTCCCCTGAAACATTTGCAAATCCCCTCTATATTTGAACGCCCTATATATCTATATTTATATCTAGACATCTCTATATGTGTGTATGCATTTCCCTCCTGCAATATTTGCAAGCCCTATATATCTATGTTTATATCTATCTAGACATCGCTCTCGCTATATGTGTGTGTGTGAATTTCCCGCTGCAATATTTGCAAGCCRTATATATCTATATACATATCTATCWAGACATGTCTATATATATATTTGTGTGTGCATTTCCCCCCGTAATATTTACAAGCTCTATATATCAATATTCATATCTATCTAGACATCTGTGTGTGTGTGTGAATTTCCCCTGCAATATTTGCAAACCCTATATATTTATCTAGACATGTCTYTATACATTTGTGTGTGCATTTTCCTCTGTAATATTTGCAAGCCCTATATATCTATATTTATATTTCTCTAGACATGTCTGTATARATTTGTAAGCCCTATATATCTATCTAGACATGTCTATATACATTTGTGTGTGCATTTTCCTCTGTAATATTTGCAAGCCCTATATATCTATATTCATATCTATCTAGACATTTCTATCTATARTTGTGTGTGCATTTTCCCTCTGTAATATTTGCAAGCCCTATATATCTATATTCATATCTATCTAGACATGTCTATATGTGTGTGTGTGTGCATTTCCCTATATATCTATATTCATATCTATCTAGATATCTSTGTGTGAGTGCATTTTCCCTCTGCAATATTTGCAAGCCCTATATATCTATATTCATATCTATCTAGACATGTCTATATATGTGTGTGCACACATTTCTCTATATATCTATATTCATATCTATCTAGACATCTGTGTGTGTGTGTATTTCCCTCCTGCAATATTTGCAAGCCCTATCTATATTAATATCTATCTAGACATCTCTCTCTATCTGTGTGTATGCATTTCCCTCTTGCAGTCTTTGCAAGCCCTATATTTCTAGATTCATATCTACCTAGAAATCTCTTTCTATATATATGTATTTGTACCAAATGTCCAGTGAATAAAAATCCATCCTGCATATCAGATATTAACAATGCGATTCGTAACAGTAGCAAAATTACAGTTATGAAGTAGCAACAAAAATAATGTTATGGTTGGGGGTCACCAGAACATGAGGAACTGTATTAAGGGGTCGCAGCATTAGGAAGGTTGAGAAACACTGCCTTAACCTCTCCTCCTTTGGGCTTCTTTGTCCACAGGCTTTACGCCGCTGGGCTCATCTGGGCACTGGGCATGAAGTTTGCTGTGGAGGAGATCAACAACTCCACCACGCTGCTGCCGGGCATCACGTTGGGGTATGACCTCTACGACAGTTGCATGGAGCCTGTAGTGGTCCTCCAGCCCAGTCTGCTCTTCCTCTCTGAAATGGACACCAGCAGCATCGGCATCTCCTGCGACTACACCGACTACTGGACCAGAGTGCTGGCCGTCATTGGCCCCCACAACTCAGAGCTCTGCATGGTCACAGCAAAGCTGTTTAGCTTCTTCCTGATCCCTCAGGTAAAAGAAGAGGATTTCCTTGTAATGATTTGCCTGGATGCAGAATGTGAAGGTAGAAAAGGTCCCATATAGATACAGATATCTAGGTACATGGAAATCTCACATTATTTATATGTATATAGGATTTGCAAAGACATTCCAGCCTGGGAGGAGAAGCAGAGCAGAATCAGAAAAGAAAACACATTGTTTAGGGAGGGGAAGAGGAGAGAGAACTATATCATATATTACAAGGGCTTCTCTCCCGCTCCTTTCCCTTTTCAAAACATTCCTGCCTGGAAGGAGAAGCAGAGCCAAAGCTGAAAAGAAAACACACTGTTTAGGGAGGGAAAGAGGAGAGAGAAATAGATCATATATTGCAAGGGCTTCTCTCCCCCTCCTTTCCCGTTTCAAAACATCCCAGCCTGGGAGAAGAAGAAGAGTAGAAGTTGAAAAGAAAACACACTGTTTAGGGAGGGGAAGAGGAGAGAGAAATATATCATATATTGTAAACAATGGTCTCCAGGCTCCGCTGCCTTGTGCATTTAGTATGTGTATTACACTCTTATGTTAAAATTACAATTTGAAAACTATACCGTCTAAAATAAATGACCTTCTTTGTCCCAAGGTGACCTATGGAGCCACATCAGAGAAGCTGAACAATGAACTCTACCCCTCTTTCTTCCGCACCGTGCCTAGTGATAAAATCCAAATAGAAGCTCTCTCCCAGCTCCTGCTTGCTTTTAATTGGAACTGGATTGCGGTCATCGCCAGCGATGATGACTACGGCCGCGAAGGCCTGAGCCTGTTGTCCTCCATGATGATCAGCAAAAGCATTTGCATTGCCTACGAGGGACTCATCCCAGCTGATATGTCCAATGCCAACATCCAAGAGAAGATGTCCCAGGTCATCCACTCCATCAATGAGACCAAAGTCAACGTCATCATCCTCTTTTCCAAAGACCGACCGGTCCGGGAATTCTTCAAAATGTGGTTCAAATTGGGGTTAGGGCAGAAAGTGTGGCTCGCCACCGAAGCTTGGGTGATGTCCGACGTGGTCCTCTGCTTAAAAAATGTCCAGAACATTGGGACGGTCATTGGCTTTGTCATCAAGGCGAGGGACATCGATGCCTTTAAGGAGTATACCTCTGATCTCTTGGAGCTGACCCAACAGGAGAGCTTCTGCCGGGAGTCCAGGGAGCAAGCCAGCCAACTGGGCTCTGTCCTGGGACCACAGTGCCTGCAATGCAACAACATTTCCCACAATCAAGTCACCGCCGTCCTCGGACATCGTCAGACCTTCGCTGTGTACACTGCGGTGTACGGAGTGGCTCAGGCCCTTCATAAGGCATTGCAGTGCCAAA